AATTTTCACATAATTCTGGATTTAAATATTCCAATTAAATTTAAATACTTACTTGAAACTAGTCACTTGATAGTTTGTGGCAATTTAAAAGAAATTTAAAAAGTTCTGCACCCCCACAGCCAGACAACAGGTAAACAAAACAAAAAAGGGGATATTTCAGCATCAAAGTTCTCCACAGCTATCCTTTGGTTAACAGGCTTGACAGATATAACATATGCCACAGAGTAATTTTTAAGGTACATACTAGACTCTAGACTGCCAGCTACTTAAAACAAATCTGCTTATCAAAAACGATCAAATATTTATCCCTCATTTATTCTTGAAAAAAAAATATGAAAATGACTCAACAGACTTCCAATAATCAATATACATTACTTCCTCTCCTCTTAGACAACACAATAGGCTACTACAGAATTTGCCCTTAAGCATCAATGAAACAGAGAAGGAAGGTAATTCCAGTTTTGATCTGATGAAATCTATAAGCAAGAATAAGCTATAAGTGGTCATCCCATTTGAAAGAAACTGATACAGCTTTATTTGCCTTTTTTTTTTTCTTTTGTAATGAGCTTGTTGTTTAATTCCTTTTTTACTTTACATATGAACAGCTTCCTTAGAACACTTTAGTTTTCCAAACTTATGAGATGCAAGCAGTTAAAATAGAGGCAAATAATTTGTGCCTGGAGCACTTACCTCTACTGTCAAATGAAGACGGAATTAAGCTGGCTACCGTTTCACCTAAAGATTTTGATGAAGCTTCGCGTTCCACAGAGGTATCTTCCTGTAAAACAGATAGTCAAGTATGACGAAAGTAGGATTAAGATCACTGACTTAAACAAGCTAAACATAAAAAAACCCCAGAAATTAAAAAATCCTCAACCCGTGCACAGATAAAGGCATAAGGAATTTTGTAGCCTGATTTCTGTTTCTTTTCTTAGTGGAACCATCACTTTGACCTTATAGCATTACAAAATATAAGCAGATGCCTCTTCACTGCTGTACAAGCAAGATGATGCCTTCTTAACATTTTACAAAAGCATCCAAACAATGATTCTAAGAATGAACAAGAAAACGTTTTAATGTTCCAAGTACATGAAAAACCAAGTCCATCATCAAACTCAAACTAGCAATGAAAAAGGAAACTCAAGTAACAGCAGAAAGGTCTTTTTTTCCATCACAGGCAGTTTTCTACTAAGAGGTACTGGAAATATTATGCTGTTTGGATCCTTCAAAATTCTTAATTTTAACCACTGTTGACAACTCTGATTCAATACACATGACATACTGATTAATGTGTCAGTGTTACATTTAATAACAAGTAGGGAATTAAGGAAATCAAGAAGAATAATAAAGTCAAATGTTTATGTCTTAATATTTTTTCCTCCTTCTGGAATTGTTTCTTATTTCTATCCTTTAGCACAAAGCAATTATGTACAATACCCCAGAGTTTTTTTGTTGCCTTTTTTTTTTTTTTTTTTAAATCTGTTGAAAGTGTTGGAGAAGTGACAGGTTACTATTATTTCTGGGTGAGAGAGAAAACAAGAAGCTGTTAAGAAACCTCAGGACCATACGTGCTCTGCATAGGCAAGCTAGCACTCTAGACTATAGCAGTACCAGTCTAAATTCTAAGGGTACTTGGCCTTCCCCTACCTACTGGCAGCACAGACAAGGAAAGAACAGTGAGAAAGAGGAAAAGAGGAGACAGAGTGCACTGACACCATCTACAAAAAGAACCATAAAACCTCTAGCTCTGAAACTGCTTGCTTGCAAGGTCCTTAAACAGCTCACTACCATACTGAATACAAAATACTTGCATTCAGAAATGCCTGAACTTTAGATGAGTTGTATTTTTATGACTTCTGCAACATGAAACCATCAGCTAACCTCTGTGTTCAATAAGAGAGACATCTGTGGTTGACTAAGGCACATAACGTTACTTTCCGCTGAACTTATTGGTCCACTTCTATGCTGCACATTCAGTATCTCACTGCTTCCCAAACTCTGTGACTTGTGGAAATCCAGAACGGTAGCTTCCAGTGTGGGTACAGGAAGAGACTCTGTTTTTGGAGTCTGAGTTGACTTCTTGTTTGTAGTTTTACTGAACCTGTCTGAATAAAGCATGTAAAGTCTAAATAATTAAACCTGCTTGTGATCATTTCTAGGTATATTTTATAGTGCACTAGTTGACATAACTACAGTCATTGTCACAAGAGCTACTGCTACATGCTTATATTAAAAAAACAACCTAGCATTTATAACCAACGTGTATATACAACACTGACTCAACAAGCAACTGTAAATTCAGATGCTTGCTTAGGAAATTTTTCGTATCAGTTTACATGAACTTGTTCAATTGGCAAAAAGATGCAAGTCACCATCCCTTGTCAAAAAGTCACACAGGAAAGAAAACCTGTCCTTAATTATTCTATATTTAGAAACATGGTCACAAACTGGAGGTTATAGCACAGTCAACCATTTTACACCATTACAGGTATTCAATGTGTTTCTAAGCAAACAACACATTTTTTACCTGGCTTCATGGAATCTCTGCTGCATGCGGAGGTCTGGAACGAAGTCCTGCTCAGAATTCTGACAGAAGAGTCATCTCCATCATGCCTTTTCTTGTCTAATATTTTCTCACCCTCTTTTGATCTCCTCTGCTGCAAGTATTTGTGACATATTTAGCTGATTTTACTTGAACTTTGTAAAGTCATCAAGCTTCCCTTAACTTGAGTTACAGTTAACTACCTCTGCATCTGGAGCTTGACCACCAATACAACATAAGCAGTTAGTACACCATAACCACAAAAAAATCAATAGAAACAGGAAGAGCTGGTTAAAGATCTGCTATTTAATTTTATCTACCTTGTTAATTGTGCCATTTTTAGCACATATTATAGCCCAAGCAAGAGGGATTATTCCATAGGTTTCTAGACAACTGTACTTTTAAGATCTTACTGATAAGAGCATTTCCAATAGTTTAAAATGGTTTGGTCTTAAATTATCCAGTCTGATTTTCTAAAACCAAGTTTCTTCTACAACAGGGCTAAAATTTTAAAAGCATTCCAACCTTTCGACTAAACTACGTATTACAGGCAAAACTAGGCAAGACTGATGTCACAACATCTAAAACACTCGGAGCAGATGGAAAGTAATTAGAAAAGATACACCTATATGATCGCAGTAAAGGAAACATATTTACCTATTCTGTAAGGCCCTGAAAGCCTTGTGATTCTCGCAAGAGACATAGTTTGGCAGAACTGGGCTCAGGAATCAGTATGGCAGTCAAGGAACAAGCACTAGGCTTGCATCTTATGCAAAGTTATCAACCCAGATGAGTAGCTTAACTCTTTCTGATTACAGGATGCTGGACTAAATTCGAAGCACATCTGGCAGCAACATGATTTTCTTGGGTGGGATGACAATGCACTTCCTGACTCCCAAAGCTAAACTGCTAAAGCTTCAGGATATGGGATCAATTAACACAAAGTCGCAAATAGGAAAAATTTCTCTTCAAGATCACAAAACAAAACAAAACAAAAAAAAAAGGACAGGAAACAATAACAAAAAGATTGTCAAATACTACACAGCTCAGCCCAAGCCCCTACAAAGACACAGAACTCCTCCTGGAAGCTAAACTAAGTTTATTCTTCACCTGTGCTAAGGCCGAGATAATCATCTCCCCAGACAGCTTCAGTATTTGACTTTTCTCTCAGCAAGAGAACTACTAGTTTTAGGTGCCTAGCTTTTGTGTTTTATGTCTAGTAACGCATGCTTAGGGCCTAATCTTACAACTTCCTGTACACAGGCTTGACCACAGTGAAGTTACGAGGTCGCTGCCTGGGGAGTAAGGTCCACCAGAAGGATGTGACTGGAGAACAGATTACTTGAACCTATTGGAAACAAGAGACACAATGTCTACCCACAGAAGGAAATGGGTTAATAATACATTTGGTTTTTTTCCTGATTTTTATATTTTGAGGAGTTTGTCTGGTTTTGGTTTGAAAACATTACCCAAGTTTCAGGAAAGTTATCCCCAAACAGGCACACATCAAAAATGAAAGATGTTTGCTGAATATCTGGCTTATTTTTGATTGAGAGAAAACATTTCTAACATCAACCTTTCTTCCCTCTCCACACCAACAGAAGTTCCTACTCTCTTGTGGATTGTCTTCTACCTGTAGCAGGTCTTGGAAATCCTTCAACGACAGATGTGGTCTCATCGCTTATCAGCCACATAGCTGATGACAGCCACCAGGTCTCTCAACTCAGGTTCCTGGAAGCTGCCTCTGGGCTCAAAAAAAAGCACTTCCCCGCTCCCCCCCTCTTGTAAACAAAGGAAAGCATAGTTCACAAATGAATGGCCTTTTTTTTTGGCAGCCAGATGCTGCTTTCTGAGGAAGAAGAATTAAATTCCCATCATGTAAAAATACTGCTCGAAAAACTGTATTAATTTGAACTGTAGAATATCATGAACTTTTTTGAAATCTGAAGTTGGGCACATTACTACCATCCTCTTTAAATGCCATTCATTATCACTACAAGAATAGAGAGTGATTATTCACTTCAAAAAAAATGAACCAAACATTTAGAAAGACTGATTTAAAATAAGAATTTAATTTTTAAAAAACCATGTATTTGCTCACCTTTGAAAGATTCTTACTTTCTTGTTTGATTGGATACGTTTGCTCAGCAGATTCACTGACTATTCCTGAACCATTATAGTGTGTTGAGTTGTTAGAATGATATTGTAAGCCAGCTACTGGATATACATTTGAAACAACATCAGGTGAGTAACAGCAGCTGGAGTATTCGCGGAAGGCAGGATCTCCCAGAACACTATGTGATGGACATTGAGAAAGAGATGAGAAGTCATCCCGGGGCAAATCTTCAGCATATACTTGTTGCCTAGATAAAGATATCATTCCTTGGCTGAAGAATTTGTTTAACAAGAAAGCTATTATTTCAGAAGAAAACTATTCCATGTTACTTCAATTAAGTATTTACTCACTGCTATAGATTGCTTTAAAAATAATTAATTTTGTTTTGGGAAAACACTCAGTTCGGCAAATATTTTAAAACAGAGGTGTTATCTAAGTTTCAAAGCTAGTCTGCTTTGCAGTTACTAGTCCTCATTTCTGTTTAAGGTTATCAAGATTCTTGGTACTTACATTTGGTAGGCTTTTTCTTGTGAAACAAACCAAAAGTACAGTATAACTACATGACATGCATTACATACTTGACCGCAAAAATACAAACATTAAAGAGTAAAACGTGTCTTCAAATGCCTTAATGACAAGGCAGGAGTATGGCACCTTACCAGGTATAAGGCATACACGAAATACAATACAGAATTGTCAGATAACCATTAACTGACCTGCATTTAACCATCACTGTTTATGAAAACACAAGTCTAGGGCATGTCTTTTTCCTTCAAATATACACTCAAATTTCCCTTCCGATTTCCTCCTACATTCCATACAGAAACTATGCCGAGATCCGAATTTTATTAGGGAGAAAGGAAATTTCTCAGCTTAAGAAAGCTGCATTTAATTTTTAAAGCTATTCACTGTGAAGTGGCCAACTTCTAGATCTTGGTAGATAACGAAAACCAGAGAAACCTTCTTGTCAGAACTAGAGACTTCAGATAACACATTTCTTACTGCCTGTTGCAATTCTGATAGACTGTAGCGAAAACAACTCTTGCAATCACCGTTTACACACACAGAAGAAGAGAAAGAAATGAGAGTCAAAAAAAAACCAACTATGGCTCAGTCCCAACAAGGCAAAACATTCATCAGAATATTGCTGCTGTCTGCTGTGCTTTTTTTAATGCTAATTGATTTAATGCTAATGCTGTTTTTTTTCTAATGCATAGATCAGGCCATACTCACCTCAAATGTTAAATTTCTACTACAAATCAAAATGAGTTGAATATACTGACATTTCCTGTAGCATAAAATGAAGGCCTACAATGAACGTGTTCACTAAGGCTCTAACTGAACTTGTCAGGATGCACCAATAGTAACTGCACTAATTGCAAAATTATTCCAATGCTTAGAGTTCTGAGAAGCAACTAGAAAACTATACAATCACAAGAGTCTTACAAGACTTATATACTTCCTATCCTACTACACCGCTTTTTTATAGCTTGCTCTGGCGTTAACAACACTTTTGTAAGTCTACCATGAATGCCTTTTTTTTTTTTCAGGCCTTATTAGAAAAAAACTTTTAGAAACCTGTAGCATTCTTACTAAAACTTCCTTTCTGGGGATGCATGGGTTGTGGAGTGGAGATCCAGGAGAAGCCCCTTACATTATTTAAATGTTTTACAGCACAAGAAACCTTCTTGGAAGATCTTCTTCTTCCTTTTATATGACTACATTTACCCCACCCTTGTCACAACACAACCATTCTTTCACCCGAGGACTGGATTCAGCTCCTTCCGAAGCACAAAGAAGCCAAATCAATCATTACAGAACAACAAATCCTCCTTAACGCTCTGTAACAAAACGGGAGACATATACCAGACATATACCCTAAGAACATAAATGCAAAAACCTAAATCACGAAGATAATGCACAAGTGTTTCTACAGTTAGAATATTAATGTATCAGAGCTTTGACTTCCTAAGAGTATTCAATGTCCAAAACCAGAAGGTTAAAATCCCCCAAGAAATAAGATTCATAAAATAGACATACTTATCCAAAGATGGTTCCTGAACAAATGGGTAGCATGTAGTTAAGTACCTAGGAAAGACACATGCTTCTGAGGGTTCTGACCATGCCACAGTTACCGCCGCATGTTTTGGAACAAATGGTTTGACCTCTGCTGACAACTTGATGCCCTGAGAAACAAAACGTTTTTTGGCTACATGCATTTGGAGATTAATGTTAAAACACTCATCCTTGTGAGCTTAACTGTCATAGGAAAGCGTTAGTTTGCTCTCTTCTAACAAAACATGCAAAACAATAAAGCTCACCAAAAGGAAATGGAGGAAGACTAGGAAATAAAGCCAAGGAATTCTAAGAGAAATGTGACTGCACTGGGAAGTTATTTCCTTTAACACCCATATTTATCGTGAAATACTCACAAAGGTCAATTATGGAAAGGACAGAGGCTTGCTTAACACAAGATACAGTAAATACTAACATACAAATTCTTATTTTAGTTTTGAACAATATAAGCTAAAATTCATAAAATATACTAGCACTACTGTAAAATCAAACTCAGGAAGTATGTAACAATAGCTTTGTGTATGTCTGTATTTTAAGGCAGGCTATCTGAAATGAATACTTAATTATATAACCTTCTCATTTCTTGCACAACACAAATCTGTTAATGTGAATCACCATCAACTGAAAATGGATATGTATATATAGAGCGGCATTGAAATGAGACTCAGAATACTGCCATTACAGTGTTACACGGCTTTACTCACCCTAATACATGCCACAAGTAATTCCTACAGTTGATTGTGTATTTTGGGATAACTAATACACTAAATGAAAACCGGGATTTTTTTCACTTGTCAAAGACAATTTCAATAACTGAATAACACATAGGACTTTTTAAAATATTTGAACGGTAATTTCAGTGCTTGAGCATATGAACTAGACTCCCTGCATCCTCTAGTGGCTCAGCAGTCACTTGCATCGTAAACATTTGAAGAGCTCTAACAGCCTAAAGTAAATTACAAATAACTGCAAACTCTTCCGTTGCTCAAATTACCAGGCAGACCCGAATCGACAATGGACTTCCATGGTAACCCTTACACGTAAAACGCGGAACTGGAACAGTTAAGAGCACTAACAGATGTAAAGCATAAGCTTGTGAGGTAATTAAAGCAAAGCGCTATTGAACAACTATCGAGAACACCTTAGTCACTAAACACGCAGTGTATCCCACGAAGCAACTGCGACGGCAGGCTGATCGCTAACTTTAAACACCCCCGCGCCCGACCAGAAAGCACGTCCACGTGAAACGCACGCCGGCGTCACCGTTAGAACGCGTGCACCCATCTCTACGGTGACGGGGACGCGACGGGGACGCGCGCCTGCCCTCGCAGCAGCCTCCCCACTCTGTGGGCAAGAAGTGGCTTTCAGGCTCACTGGAAGTGACGTCTCCGGCTCCCCCTCCCAAGGAGTGGAAGTGC